TCCACGCCCGTCAAGAGGCTTGGTCCCTGCTGAGCCTATAGGAGAAGTCATGTCAAGGCTTGCATCCCGCATGTTTCATGCTTCGATCATATAAGCAATAAAGCCCTAAAATGTGTAAATGTGCTGGCATAATTTTATGCCCCAAAAAAGTATACCGGGAAGACTTAAAAGTATCTCGACCTCGATAGACGAAAAAAAGTATGCCGTCGCATTTGCTGGAAGGGAAACAAGAGCTGACAAAGTGAGAGTCGTGCCCAAACGATGAAAGGTCTACTGATATGATCGTCGCCCTATCATATGCAGCTGTGGTGGTCAAATGCTCTTGCAACAGCATTGGCTAGCCAACGGCCCCCCAAAAGACACGGAATGACGCCGAATGAACGACAAACAGGTCGCTGGGGCAAACTGCACATCTGCAATCGCCCGGAAGAACCGATCGCGCTGGCATTCGCTGGCTTTACTTCCGCGATCGCTTGAAATCGGCGGGTCTCAACGAGGCCTTGATTGGAAAACAATTTGGCCTCTGAATTTCGATGGCTCTGCTCTGTTGGAGAGCTTTCTTTGCCTCAACTTCCTCAACCTCCAAGATCCTCCAAAATCTGGCCCCTAGTGTAACTCCAATCCAACATCTGCTGCGCGGTCTTTACATACCCTACTCCCCATCATCAACACGATCATTTGATGCGACAGGCAACAATCAATTGCAAGTTGATCACGGTCTTTATGTTTTGTGCTCATCTGTGAATGGGAAAACATATTCAGAAAACTGAAGAACTCTGCGAATTCTGGCTCATGCTGGACTGGCAGACTAGAACAAGTACCGTCTACAGATTTGGGGTTGGGTCGAACCATCTCGGTCAGAACGCGGATTCTAGCGACAGCTCGCTCAAACTTTCGGCGCAGGCGGGCTGGCACAATGGACCTGGAGCCTCATGCTGACTCATGCTGACTCTGCACATTGCGGTATCCTGCAGTAGCCTTGCCCAGGTTGACGTGATGACCCCAAAACGTGCCCATGTGTCCCGCAGCTTACATCAGAGTCTTACGGTTAACATGCGCTGGGTTAAGGAGCTGTAAGTAAAGCAGCTCAGGTTGTCTACTTGCAGCAACAAATAGCTAAAGAGAATTGTCCAATCTTGATCTGAGAAAAAACTGGCCTACGTGCGCATTCTCATAGCCTTCGTGCCCATCTTGTCTTATCGGAGATCTTCAGAATCGTCCTTTGCTCCAGACCCGGCCCCACCATTGCCACGCTAGGCATGCATCGAGACTGATGCTTGGAATTCCAAACTCAGGATGGATAGTCCCAATTGCAACAGTACTCCATTTAGCAGTGCACTGCTGGATAGCGGCAGGCGCACATCTCAGCATTCCTGAAAATCTCACGAGTGGCCGCGTGCCTCTCCTGGATCTCAAGCACTGCTCAAAAAGACAAAACAAGTCACGGGGACGGGCCGGCTGCCCGGAAGAAGCCAACTAAACGGAGCCCCCACGGGCTGGACCGAACCTTGTCCCAACAGACAAGTCAGAGCTACTTTGCCGAGGCCTTCATGGAACAAATAGGAAATACATACATACATATATATATATATATGTCAGTACATGTATGTGTGGGTATGTGCATATGCGCGTACATGTATAATCAGTGCTTGTGCTAATCTGACATCCAATCTCCTAGGATACCAAGGGATGAACACTCTTGAAGGCCCTGGAACAGTGGCACTGGATTGCATGCAATTGGGTGCTGCCGAAGACTTGGGACAGCAAAAGCCGATGACCCCATCCTATTGTGCAGAATGTGATGCACAGCAGCTGCGAGGGGGCGTGCTGCCTATATTAGATCTGGTTGAACACTTCCACTATCTCGCGTGGATGTCCTCATTACTTGTTACCCTCACGTGACTCAGGTCACCTGGCTGCTTGGCTACAAGTCCCAGTACTCTGTTCAAGGGTCGGCATGTCCCCATCTCCGAAGGCAGCTCTTTCCCTGAGGCCCTGCCGCAGGATTCAGACGTAACTGCCTATCGCAGATTCGGGAAGCCTGATGGCCTCCTGTTAAACACATTTTTATGAAAAGCAAAGTTCGACAGCTGAATGTGCCTTACTCATGGGATCAGTGCCTCTCCTGGCTGCAGCCTATATAAACTCTGTTCAACATGGTTAGGCGCGACTTGTGTTAGAAGGATGTCAAAACGCTAAAGCCCAGGCAGGACCCCTTTGTTCAGGGAACCGTGCTCGCTGGCGAGTTCACTGTTGGACTCGCGCGAGTCGTTTTGCGTGCACGTGCCTCAGGGAACACAGGTGATCATTATTTTTGGGCCTGACGGCCAGCAGACATGAGGTTGCTTGGTGCTCAGCGGTTTTGAAACTTCTGCAAATAAGTAGCCCAGTGTACTTCAGGCCTTCAGCTGAAGCCCCACTGAGTGAGATAGCAAACAGCCAACAGTCACGTCCATCACCCTCACGCCTCCACCTACTACTCTCAAAGAACGCGAGCTGAAGCAGAAAGGAACACGGAAAGCTCTACATCCAACCCCCTGGGACTATGAAAGCAAGGCATGACATCCTCAGGCCCAAGGCACAGCAGCTCTTCAGCTAATTGTTGACATCTTCCCCCATGCTAGCTGTAGCAGCTCAGGGCACCTCTCAGATGTCAAGAGGATTGGCGGCAGGGATGGAGGCTTGGGCATGGGTGAGAGCAGGTAAAACGAAGCTGTGTTTGACATTCATGCTGGCTGTTCCAAAGACCGCCCATCCTTGGGAATCAGAGTTCAACGCCGAGACAAGTAGCCGCTATAGATCGCTATAGGTCTTCTTTAACATGAATGTCAGTTTTTTGCTCCGCATGCTCGAGTTTGTCCATCGGCATTGGCTAATGCTGCTTCAGGAGTGATATGTCATCGCTGACGCACCTTATTATTGCGCTTTTGCATTTTTGAATTTACGGATAGCTCAGCTGCCTGGCATCAACTTTGGATAGGAATCAGTGGCGCTCCTGGCAATAATGCTAGTGGGAGGCGTGCTGCCGTACCCCTTAAACACTTGGCGTGCCTTCCGAAAGAAAGTGGTGTAGGTCCTATATCCTTCATGCTTAGAAGCAGAGGCTAAGAAACTTGGAGTATCCGGCCTCTTCGTGTACGACACTTCTTGCATTGTACCCTGTCCGCGAGTCCCGAACCATGTGTGTTGCGTTTGAGGCAATGTTATAACCTCCATGCAAGGGCCAAAAGACATATAAAGAATGCACGATGCCCCTGCCAACGATCGTGTTCAGTTCTGACACGCGTCCAACAAGAGCCATATCCCCCCAGTGTCAGAATCGCACCTGCCCAAATACTTGCTAGCGAGTCCTAAGTCTGACTCATCGACAGCTTCAACTCCAAAGAGCTCTTTAATCCCAAGTATCCCACGACGTTCAGGCCCAATGTAGCGGGCCTCGGAAGCAAAGTGCCATCCATCCGGCTGCTTCCTGTCGAGTCTGTCGAGCTTTAGTATCTGAATCACTGAAGGTTCTGGCATTGACCTAGTGTTTTGCTCTCAACCACCTGGCGATGATGACCCTGGGGCGGCCCACCAGGTGCTGAGGGGCCCACACCTCAGGTCTACGTTCCATGCAGCGTCTGATGTATGAACAACATCTGCTGTCTGCAGTCCAGGCAAGCAGGCATTCCTTCAAGACAATACTTGTCCCATTCCACTGGTTGCTTCACCTTGCGCTTCCAAGGAACGCCCGTCCAGCTGTGGTCCACCTGAGCTTCCATGCACCCCAACACGCACCTAGTGCCGCCTCCCACTTCAGCGAACCCGAGCTGCACAATGTTTGCGAGTTTCGTTGAAGCCATGGGACCGATGGCTGATTGGCCATGGCGTTGTTGGACTCCACCTTGCGGCATGCAAGCTGAAGGCATTGTGCGAGTCTGACGCTGCAACCTGCTGCATTTGGGGCTTTGCTTTCCGCTACGTGTAGATATACCCTTGTAACGAAAAGTGATGAAAAGCGAAGCCTCGCGCTGCAGAGCATCAGCTCATCGGTTTCAAATGTCCCGGCCTCCACGGGGTAGTTGGCCGGAGGAGGGCCGTTGGGGCGAAAGACTTGTCCTGAATGCCTGCAGGCGGAACAAGGCAGCTGTCTTTAAGCTCGCAGCAAGTTGCTGTTCGGAGAGCTTCTTTGGGAAGCTGTAGCCGTGGCATTGGGGCTCAACAGGTGCCCCGCTTGGCACGAAAGATGACTGCTTGCATTGCAGGTTGCGGGTTGGGGCGGTACTCCACACCGCCGAAGTACCGGCTTCCCGCCTGGGCAGGGGCTAACAGCATTTCTGCCGAAACCAACACTTGCGGCAGACGCCGGTCCTGCAGACAGCTGCCCTGGAGGCCCTAGTAGAGATGCAGCACTCTGCACGCAGGAATTCCAAGACTTGAATCCTCAGTCCTGCATTTCCATGTTAAAACCTTCCCTACAGCTGAAAACATCCCATTCCCTGGCCTTGTCCCAGTGCCCGCGCTGCTCGTGAATGTGTCCAAACAAATGCACCTTTGGCTGCGGACTCTTGTTGAGGAGCCCCCCCACCCCTTTTCACAGCTACGTGTGTCGCAAAACAACCCAACTGTCAAACACGCGGCATTCTGCTCAAGCACACGTCCCAAGCTCCTATAATCTCCTATACTCTCGAAAGTCACACCTTGGGCTTGGTGCGGTAGATGGCATCAAGCCTCGGCGAAGAACTGAGAATCTAAGAGCTTTGAACATATGATTGATTCTTGACGTGCTTATTTGGCTAAGTTTTCGCCTAACCTGGGCATAACGCACTGGAGCCTCGCAATCGCTGCGCCTCAGGCTAAGGCTTCGGGTTCTACACAAGACTGGAACAGGGACACTGAGTCAGAACCAAGCTAAGGTACAGCTGTCCGCTGGAGCCCCAATGGCCACCACCAGTCAGGTCGAAGATGCCATATGGGGCCTTGAGGGTGAGAGCTGTGGCGAACCCACCCGCAAAAATGTCAGGCTATGGAGTTGTCGCACATCACTGAAGCCTATCAGTCTTGGCAAAGTACAACATGCTTCAATCAACAGCACAGCACGCAGGTCCAAATGCATTGACTACAGGTTACAGTTGGAACCAGTGTCCATGCTGTTATTTACCTAGACTGGAGCGCATGCACGTGAGAGATCTGTGAACTGTTCAGCAGCCATGAATGCAAGCTTGCAGGAGCAGCCAGTCGCACCTCGTGCGTCACGACAATGTCAACGCCTTCACAAGCTAGAGCTTGACAGGGGTGACTGGCAGCAGAAATCCGCTGAACTCTGCCTGCGGGCATGTCCGCATAGTTGTTGCCAGACCGGGAATCTCCCCTCCGGGGATGCCAGCCGGCGCCCCAGATCTTGAGGCCCATGACCTCAAGGATTAGAAAAGAATTTTGGGGATTTTCATGTTAGGGCTGCTGCATGGTCCGGTTGAAATAGAGGCCCGCCTCGGCAAGATCGTGGTTGAGGACTCGCGCATTCGTGAGCTTATACCTTGTGGAGGCCAGGAGGCTGAGGAAATATGCAAAGGCCCTGTGGGACAGCAGAATCGCCTACTGTAGCCCTACAGTCGTCACAACGCGAGACCCAACTCGAACAAGCCTGCTGAACCAAAACAAGGCTTCACACAATGACAACACCCTCTCACATCATTGTGTAGTCGACTATGACCAACCACAACATCCACATGGCCCAGGCACTGGAAGTAGGCTGGGTCCTGAGCAACCTCGTTGGAGATGTGTCCACGGTTCAACCTCGCAGTTTTTGCTTTGTCGCCGCAAGAAAGCTTTTTTGTGTCACTTCGACTTCAAAGGAAGTCGACTATCCATCAGGTTCTGGGTCGTACTGACACTTACATGCAAACAAGGCCTGAATTTTGCATCTTCAGTCATGCTCTGGCTGCCTCCAATTGGTGTCCCAAAAGTCGTGGTTGCCAGAGATGACGAGGATGTGCTTGTATTTGCCCCTGGCTCTTGCATCTTGCTTGAAACTTAGCGCGGCTAATCTGTAGTCTGGAAGTTAGAGGAATATCTTTGCCTACTTGATCAGAAGAAGCACCATGCTGCACACATCATGCGCAAGAAAGTTCAGCACATCCTGCTCAATGCGCAAGCAAACGCACACTTGGCGCACACTTCATACAGAAGGGAAGGCTGCAGCGAATTCGTTTGATGCAAGTCTCCGTGCCACAGCTTATCGGCTCTGTTCCGTTGTTCCCATAAGTTTTACAGTGGTTCGACCCGCTTTTGCAGATCCATGGCAGCCATTGCTGCCGATGAGCTTGAGGCCGCCAAGCCAGTGGTTGAAATCACCCAGCTCGCCCTCGGAGCCCACCTCCAGGCTGCGACGCTGCGGAAGGTTCATGTGAGTTTGACTACAAGTGTGGGATTGGGGCTGAAGAATGTGTGTTGCCTGCTCCCACAGCAAGGCCCTTCCCTGGCCCTTGGTGCAAAAGGTTAGTTTTCAGTGCCGTACAGGTCCTGCTCACAATCCAAACGCTCAGGCACCTTGGCCACATCACCGGAATGGATCAGAATGTCAGCATCCGGCATATTCCCGGTACCTCACAGGTTTGAGTTCAGCACACATTGTATTGGATGGATCGTCGTTCGGATGAAGCATGCGTTGCTCTTCAAACAAAACACAAATGGAATGCAAATGGTGAGCCAAAGGAATATTGGTCGCGTCGGGACAGCTACGTCGAACACCAGGCCCTAACGTCTATCCTTCTCAAGCCCAGTTAATTGTACGAAGTCCCGAGCAACCATGAACGAATCGCAGTTAATGCCAGAATGTCCATCTACCAGCATGCTCCGCTGCAACACCTTCAGGCCAGGTTGATCACGCCAAGGGGCTTCGGTGGAGGCTGTGCGTGTCACTGATGTGCAGGATCCGGACAACATCCGGGCCCTGTCCCTGACCTGTCCACTCGGCAAACATGGCTTCGGCCTTATCGGACATACTACGACGTCGCGTCAGCGGATGCTCGAAGCCGCTTATCGCGGCGAGCGCGAGAAATTCACGTTGAAACATAAGATCGCCACTTTGAAGCCTTCTAGAGGCCACAGCTGAGGTCGGCAACTGCACCCCATGTCATCCCATATCCATTTGCATCTGCTTTTTGTCCCTGCTTCCATCCCTCAAAGACTTACTCTTGGCAACTGCGTACGGCTGAAATGCAGCGCTGCAATCCTAGTCCTGACCCTCCTGCCTCCCCTCTTGACCTTGAGACCGGGTCCGGGCACCTCACGTGCTGAGCGCATGGGCATCTGTGCCGTCTCGTAAGGCTATGTAAGCAATCCGAGATACTCTTTTAGCAGCTCATTTCTGCATGTCGATCGAGAACGATGTTTGTGAGGCAGCCAAGCCCAGTTGTTAACATCGCAGAGAACTCATTGTATTTTGTGGGTTTTCTTGGCAGGTCATGTCATTTACTGCAGATTTGCCGGCGAATGCTCTGCCCCAGTGGCACGCCATGGCCAAAAACACCCATTCAGCAGCAACAACAACAACCACAAGAAAGATAAGAAACACGTCACCATTTACGCGCAAAGCCTCCTTTTTCTCCGGAGGTGGCAGGGGCTGGTTGGCCAGAGCGTCCTGACACGCAACAAGCTTCCTAACCTTTAATTGGCCTGTTTCTTCAGATCATGTGGGGATCGTTGTGTTATGTTTTGCTGTGATCCTGCAGGACACGGCACAAACAACATGTGCGACCTTCAAGCACAAATCAATGCAGGAAAGTGGTGGCAAGCCTATCTTTCAAGTTTGGACTAGTTGCGTGAGCTCGCTTGTCTCCTTGTAACATGCTTTGTGCTACTCAGTGCAACCAGACTGGCCCGTCAGCACATGGCATGCAGTCCGGTCCGCCTTTGTGGCATTCGTCGTGTTCAGAGGCCCTCTCTTGGAGCCTGCCGTCCTTGCGCTTAGCGGTGCAACCGCTAGGCTTAGCTTGGATCAAGGAGCGCGTCTCATCAAGCCTCCTTAGGAAAATGTCCGAGGACTCTTGTGCAGTTTCTGCCGAGACTCGCTGCTGTACCATTTGTGCCCTCTGCATGGGCGCCGATGGCCAGCAGAAGCGCAATCCTCGAATTTGCTCATGGGAAGCTGTGTTGTCATACTCAACTCGTTCCAAAATGTCCAAGGGATGTTTGTCACCGAGGGCTCTACGCAAAGTCGGTCCGTTTGGCCAACATGACTAGACGCGAAACATCGGACGTCGTTGAACGTCAGTGCGGCATACAGTAGTGTGAAATGCTAAGACTGCAAGGAATTCCATCAAGGCTCAGCGAAGCGCGAAGGAATGCCATTGGAGCACAGAACCTACCGAGTCCTTCTTGATCCTCTATATGCCTTGCGAAACTCGTGCAGTGCGGGGCGTTTCCTCCGACTTGGGGGTGATCGTCCTATCGCGTGCAAAGCAGAACAGGCATCGAACCAAGAGCTGATAATTCCAAGCCTCTTGCTGGCAAGCTTCCACTTGAGTTTTGCAAACACTTGCAAGGCATATCTGCATACACAGCACGATGGGAACAAATTCAAAGTCGCAGGTAAGCCTTGATGGTGATCTGCTGCATCAAAGCACATCAACGACTGCAGTCAGGCCCGCACTGGTACAAATCTTCGTGGTTTGCATCAGGTGCCGAATTCCTGGGCTGGGGCTGCGGGACGTCTTGTGTGTTGCAAGTCCATAGGCCTATGCAGTCTCCATCTGCTTAGCGGGTCGTGCTGCGCAGGAAGTGAGCAGCAGGAGAATATGCTTGCCTGTATGATCGGAGGTTCCGTGGGATGTTCCTTCTGCCTTGTGCGATGTGTGTGTGTGTTGGCGTGCAGAAAGGTGCGGCAAGCTCTCTCCTGCAACCACTCAACCACACCTACGAAAGGGAAACACGCCCAAACATCCGCACAATATGTATCTATGTGATAATGGTTCAGCACGCTGTCGCAACTTTTCTCTTGAGACGCATGGCGCATGCTGTCCTTCTCCTTTGAAAATGGTGCCTGGCAAGTAGCCAATGATGCCATCAGATTTGTAAGCCCTAGACGGCTGCTGGAACCAGATTCCAGAACGGTGCACGGTTCAACTCGATAACATTCATACGTGTTGGCCTACACAGTTACACAACTTGGAGAGCCCAAGCATCTCGCATTGGCATGCTTTGCCAGCTCCGCAGCTAAGCTTCAACTCAGCTGGGCTAGGAGCCACCGTGGGGCTGCTGATGAATCAATGTCAAAACTTCGCGGACAGAGCCTTCTGGACCCGGCAAGCAAACGTGGAGCCCTTGTACTCTCAGCTGAGCAATTAGCGCAGGCAAAATTGACAGCAGCCTCATGCAACCTCCAATCCCTGCCCGAGTTTTCGAAGCTTGCATGTGTCGAGAACAAGTATCTTTTCCAGAATAGGCAATGCTTGAACTTTCTGATCTGCCCAAGGAGGTCTCAGAAGCTTCCAAGAGAACGGGTGGGTGAACTCTGAGGGAAATAGAAGCAGTGCACGCGTCGCAGGCCCAGGTCCGGAAGGCCCTGTTTTTCAAGCAGGCAACTTGCCTTGAAGCAACCTGCGCACTGGGTTCTGGCCAGGTGTGTAAGCCAGCCTGAGATGAGGTGCAGCATGTTAGGCTCCCACAACCTGATAAGTCGTGGCACGTCGTGACAATGATCACAGCTCACTACATCTCAACCAATAGCCATCGATTTCAGTGCTGTGGCCTTACAACCAAACTTGGGAACCTTGGTACAATACTATCCAACCCCCACCACAGCCGCTCATCACTTGGAAGCACGTGAGCTTCTTCAGTCAGCACCTATGCGAGCAGAAGCAGAGCTGTAAAGTGCGGCATTGATTGAATCTATGATGGACAGTCGATGAGAAGCATGGCGCTGCTTTGTTGAGGGCGCTGTGCTGCCTTCTGCTGCAGCTCAGCCAGCTTTCAGGTAGGAAACTGACAAGCCACTTTAGCCAGCCATCTCCAGTCATTATGTGGGAAGCTGTGGAGAGTCAGATTCCATGCTCACACACCAGCATGATGAACCTAAAGCACAAGTCTCAAGTCCAGCTAGGTGACATGGTTGCGGGCGCGCCACGGCTGCCCAATAAAAACTCAACCTCATGACCCCCATGGCAAACACGCGGGCCTCAAGCCATCCATACGGGCTTGCGCCAGCTGTCGCCAGCATAGGCGCACTTGTCGCCCAGCTCCTGTGCATGTTGCAGAGCCCAGTAGGCCTCTGAGGCACGTACCTGGCCTCTTCGATGCGCATCAACTGGTTGTATTTGGCATTGCGGTCAGAACGGCAAGGTGCGCCAGTCTTGATCTGACCAGTGCACAGACCCACCTTAAGTCTCAAACTGCTTGGGGAAGGCAGACTGCAAAGTTGGGCATCGACACCTGTATCAGGTTGACCTTTTCTTCAAACCAAGGGGCTGCCAAGTCAGCGATCGTGGTGTCCTCAGTCTCACCGGAGCGATGCGAGCACATCACGCCCCACCCGTTGACCTGCCAGTGGTCATGCTGACGCCGACGCACTTGATGCACACACGACACGCGGCCCGTGTCACTGCTTTTAGAAGGTACTCAGATGTACGCAGCATATGAGCCTTTACCAACTGTGTGTGGCAAAGGCACGTGGGCAGCTAGAATGCCACGGGCAAAGCAATAGTTCGCCTTGCAAAGCTTCACGGCATCAATGGACTCGGACACAGTTCCAATCCTGAAGATAGCATTCTCGTGACTTACGGTACAAAGAGGGGAGCATGGATCGCGCATGACGGATGGTTGCATAATGTTATATGATTGGAGCATGTGGCAAAGGGCGGGCAAACCGTGTACCTTGAAGCGTAGAATAAAAGCCCGCCATAGGCCCGGACAGACCCCCCACCCCCTGCACAGTCAAGAAAGTCGGAAAATCAATGGGAGCAGTCACTCATGCGGTCACTCAGGCCTGAGACGAACCGCTGCTGTGCAATACTATGGGACTGTTGGGGGCTGCTCTACAGTATGCTATAAAGTCCTCGATTGCAGTTCCCATACTGTACCAGGGTTCACGAATCCCGTGCATAAGGGTTGTTCGACTCATCCCATCATCCCACTGTAGGTCTTTCCGTCTCACTTCTGCATTCTTTCTGTTTTTTCATAGTTTCTATGATGCGCTGCTCAATGCCATCCCAGGAGCTGGTTCACCTTCAGCAGCAAAGCATTGCAGGCCTGCGAGGTAGGACTTGGGATCTCATGTGAGGACCCGAAACCAAGGATCCTCCAGCAGACTCTGGGCCTTGTCGTCGATTGCCTTCTTGACTCGTGTGACGTTGGTAACGGTCAAGTCATCTCCGACAACCTGCACGCGATCAGGAGGGTTTCGCATTCTAAAGGTAGTGCAGACCGCAACACATACTTGCATGAGACTCTCAGGCAGAATTCATTTTGTGATAGCCTGGGTTGGTCCACCCACTTTTTCAGTAAAGGCCGTCCATGCAGCCCAGTCGTCCTGATCGAACGGGTCCTGGGCGGGGTGGCTCCCAAGTTAAGAACTAGCTGATCTACGCCTAGGCCAAGTCTGGCTCGAAGCTTCAGGCTCACTGTGGCCAGAGCTTTGAACTATCGTTTTCCGGGTCTTCCTCCCAAGATCAAGTTCTTGTCAGTGCCAGGCATTAGATCCTTCGGAAAGTCTGTTCCAAGGAAGAAAGCCTAGTTCACGTCGAAGCCCTTGCCCGAAATGTTGCGAGATTTCATGCAAGCCCGAGAAGTGCCTGCTGTGGCGATGCCAAAAAATCATGGAAGGTGCCCATGCGCTGTCAGGCGGACAGTTGGAAGTAAAAGCTACCCTCTCTAATACCCACAAGTACGTGCGTGATCCTGCTGTGGTGCCCTGATGCCGCGAGTCACACGTAGCAAGTTTTCCTGAGAGTTAAGACTTTGCTTTGCAGCTACGTATTGCAAACGTGCAAGCCGTGAGGGCTCCTCGATGGTGATCAGCGGATAGTTCTTGCAAAGGTCGGCGTAGAAGTCTGCCAGCTGGGCTCCCGTCATCTTCAACTCTGGGGTCTTCTCCGCCTTAGATTTGGCCGCACCATCCCCTTCCAATCAATCCCCAGGGCAGAATCGTGGGAGGCTTAACGAATGACCTTTTTCTGGTTTTTCTACGGGAACCCATAGATTAGAAGCTGCCAAAACCACTCTTCCTCGTGTAGCTCCATTTAGACCACACGCCCACCCGGCTCGCGAGCCAGGGGTCTAGATGATCATCTAAGAGGGCCTGGATGGAAACACATCGCGAATGTCTAAATTTAGACTCTAGGAGAACGCTTGGTGATCTCCATGCCTTTTGCTTTCAGTTTCCTCTTCAAAGGTGGTCTGAAAGAAGCCGGCCTCGGGTTACCACCTCTCCAGTTGAGGGGATGATGTAAGTACAACATACTGAGTCGACCTGGCCGTTTTTCACGGCACGTTTTCAGCCCTTAACCGACGTGGGATTCAGATTCTATCATTACAGTAAGGTTTCGTAGGTAGGGCCTGCGGTGCGCCATAAGTTTGGCATCAAATGTAAAGAGGATTTCGATCTACCCCACGTAACCACTATATGCGCAATGCACTGAACTTGAAACCAGCTTGGAAATTCCTGACAGCAGCACCTGAACCCTGAGAAGAGCTCATCAGACCCCTGCGAAGAAATTCCATGCGTACTTGATAACAGAAACTTGGGATGCCTTGAGTCCTTGGAAGCTGAACCCCAAACCCAGTATAAAAAATGGCCTTCCACCATTGGCCTGATCCCAATGCAGGCGGAAGCGGGCTCACACAGGCATGGATCTGAATGAGCTGATGCGGTAAAACACGATGCCCTAATCCTTCAACCCCACGCACAGGTCAGAATGATTCTGAATGAGCCCCTTGAAAGGCTTGAAAGGAGCCACATAATTGGGTCAGAGCCTTGTAATTTGTGGGCAAAAAGGCCTGGTTCATCCAGAACCCCTCAGGCTGCGAGGATGTACATAATGTCGACTCCCGATTAGTGCGGCGATCCCGGTTAAAGTCGAGTTTTTCGAAAATTATTCTGGACCCCCTATTCGATTTGGTGGGTCCCAGTAAAATATTTTCGGCCGGATGTTTTTGAAGTAACGTTTTGATCAAACTCCTTTCCAATTGAATTTGAAAAGAATTTCTATGATTTTGATTAGGCTGTAATTTCTTTTGCTAAGTTTTCAAGACCAGGCCGTTTCATGCAAAGGCTGTAGACCGAGCAAGTCCATATGGATTCAACAGGAGCCGAAGGATCCCTCTTCCTTCGTTGATTCTGATACGAGCCATAGGATCCTCCAGACCCCCAATTCGTTTTGAGGCCTTTTGATTACAGGGGCTCCCCTTTTTGTGTGGGGGGGCCCCCCACACTAATCAGGATCCAACATTCCTGTTGGTGCTTCTATTTACACTGCCCTTTCATGCGCAAGGCCGCCTCGGCATACCAAGTTCCGAGGTCGTAGCAGTCGGCACCTTCCACCTTGCAAGGCCAAGACATCGGAGTGGGCCAAGGAAAAGAAACCACACCAGCGCCGAAGCTACCCCATGAGACTCTAATGTCTAACGGCCACATCACACATTGACACGCTTTTACATATAGTCATTAATTCCTGACAATGCCAGGCACTCCCGAGCTTGGCGTGTAAGTCTGGAGCACCTTGAACTCCGATGCCGCCACGTCCATACCAATCTTGCACTTGTCCTTGTAGCCTGCCTGCAGCTCAGTGCTGCAAGGCGAATGGCCCCTCAGACTTGTGTAATAAAGCCGCAACAACAACATATGTGAGGCAAGACTTAGGTTAACAGGGACAGGGCGGGCGGCCGTGTTGCAAACTTTCTGGAGCTGAAAAGGGTAGCCTTCTCAATGGCTTCCATGATCAGCTCCACACCCTGCTTGGCGTCGCAAGGGGGTGCAAAGCCTGGACTGCATGCCAAAGATTGCGTCATTACTCTCGTTGCTGCTCACAAACCCAAGGTGCCCATGCGCATTCACTACACAGCAACTAGCAGATACTAGCAGGATCCGGGCTAGTCTGCATGGCGATTGGACGTTGGGACACAATTCTCTCGCAGGAACCGCCCTCATCTCCGATAAGGGTTGCATCGCCACCAAACCTGGGCAAGACAACCCTTTCCCAGCAAGTCCGAGCTCGGCTAATGTTCTGGGTTGACCATCTAAGCGGGGTCGAACCTTTTGTTTTGTGTTTTTTCTATAATAACGGTAAGGCTGAGCACGCGGGAGCTCACGCAAACCTACTAATACTTGCAGACTGATAGTGGCCTTTTGCATTCAGAAAGCCTGTGGCGCATGCGCCGGCAGCACAAGGATGACCTACAGCCTATAGATCCCATGCAACCGAATGAGACCCTCAAATCAGAGCTCAGCGGAACCTCACACTCTTGCTTAAAATAGTGTCCTTTCTGCTACTCGCTATCGTGCCCCCATTGAAAATTATAATCTCTGTTTATCCGTTCCCTCAACATTCACTGACGTTGGCAGAACCTGTTCTGTGCGCCAATTCATGCTTCCGCAACTTCCTGAAATTGGGAATGCTGTCTCGCCTCCGTGAAGCATTCAGTGGCACAAGCATCTATATATGGAGACATGATGAGACATGCGCAATTGCAATCGAACACTGCGAATGGTTGCTGCTATAGTGCAAGCCCCATCCCAGGTGCCCATATCAATTGTCGCCTGGTTCCCCGCTACAGCTCAGGTGTGGGCTTCTTCTTGATGATGCCCTTCAAGGTGTGGTAGCACTCGGACCCGATACGCATGGCATCCTGATCAAAGCCCCATTGAAGCTGATGTCCTGTTACGTCATACAGAAGCTTGTCCCCCCCAAGTCTTGTTGCCGTGTCAACAAAACCTTTTCACAACAGCCTTCGGGCCACCTAACTGCGTAGCCGACCTTGAAGGAAGATGCACCGACCGGGATGATGAAGTACCTTACTGCCGCAAGTTTTCAAGAACATTAGCCGGGTCAGAGAAACATGCACCTCGCAAGCAACCAGTTGCTCTGACTAATCCAGCAGAAGATCCTCAGATCCTGACTTGCAGGCGTTCGCAAGATGAGAGCTTTACTTTCCTGTGGCTGCGTCTAAGTGGCTCCTGGAAGGCCAGCTTGTTTCCTGCATGGGAGCCACCGTTGATCACCTTGCGGTTGGGCTGAGAGCTGTCCCCCGCACGTGAATCCCTGCTGACCTTTTTCTGTTGACTGCCGGGGCAGCACCAACAGTCAGGATGCAGCAAAACTGGCGGCGTATGTGAAGCAAAGCTAGATGGCCTATGGAGTTTTGCAGGACTCAGCTCGTTCAAACTTCAAGTAGGGCAAGAAACCAAAACACCCTTCGCCAAGTGACGTTGAAGCACGGCACAGGAAGAGTCAGCTTGGAACCATTTCCTGACGTGGCTTGGCATTTCACATAGGCTAGGACCTTGCCTGACGTTGGGAAGCAAAGAAGTACCAAACCGAAATGCTTTAGTGTCTTAGTGATAGGAATCGACCTGCGGGCGGCCGCGCCTCCGGCCTCCCCACACCCTTCCCCACCCAGAGGTTCCAGCGTAACCTTTGGGGGGTAAGCGGCTTGACAGGGGCGAATGCTGAATAATGAGGCGAGCAAAACCGCAGCAAGGCTGCTCAGACCCACTGGCGCAAACGGCAGAGATAGCAAATTGCAGGCCGCGCGGCTGGTAATGCAAAAGTCACAGGCTGCAAGGTTGGCAGCAAACAAAACAAATACGCTGCGGGGCGGCATGGCAAGCTCCCGAGCGGGCAAAAAGAACCACCCGGGCAAGGGACAAAAAGGGAAGCGGCAGACGGGCAGCAAATAATGTCACCACGTAGCAAGTTACGATGCGGGCAACCGGGAGCAGAAAAAAAGGGAAGCTGCGGGGTGTGCAACCAATGACCAGAGAATACCAACAAGTGGCAGGGCAGGCAGCAGGGAATGCCACCGCCTGTGGCAAGTTCCAGGGCAAGCTGACGAAAACCTAAACGGTCGAGGTTTTGAAGCCGAAGGAATCATGGGAACAATTTACAATGCGATTGTTTCCTCATTTAAAGCCTGAAAGAGCTTGAAACTTCCCAGTCTAAATGTTGTTTCACAAGGAGCCCTTTTACAATCTAGGGGTGGGGCAGGGGTGAGTCAAGGGGGTGGGGGTGCTTAAGTGGAAAGCTGCGGGGTGGCTAGCTGCAGCCAATAAAATTTGTAAGCTATCAGGCGAATCGCTTTGAAAGAACATGGCAAGCTGTGGGGCAGGCGGGGGCAAGGAAAGCATGGCAAGTTCTCCAAGCAAAAATGCCAGGCTGCCGGAGAGGACAAAAACGGCCGATCGCGAGACAGACACAGCATGCTGACGCTGGTGACTTTCAAAGTGGCACAAAGTGCTGGCAAGCGAAACGCGTGTCCATGCTGTTGAGGAGCAGCCGCAAGACTGCTGGGGAGAATCGTGCTTGGTCGACCTTAGGCCTGGCACAGGCCACTACGAGGTGAAAAAGTGCGTCCATGTAATGAGAAAGGCTTGACAGGACCCGTGGGAAAAGGGCCGTGGAGACTGCAACCTCAGGAAGCATGGGACACAGGGATGGTTGGGCTTCAAGCCTTTCTTAGCACCACCCCTCAAGTCCACTCACCGGAGAGAAACTTTCCAAACCAGAAAAGCCACCATGGGCGCACTCTCCGCACATGCCCCCAGAATACCCCGACTCCCAGAACAGTCAGATCCTTGCAAGCATGTAATTTGCGAGTCTCAACTGCAAGCTGCTGACTTGCCCGTACATGGAAGATTGCAGATTCTTTGTATGAGGTCAAATGTAAAGCTCTCTGGTGAACAACTCCGGATCAAGCTGGAAGACAATCGAACAGTAGGCCGGATCAGATCGACAATCCACCTGTTGTGAAAAAGGCTGGAAAGATGGACTCTTGGCACTTTCTTGTGAATGCGATGGATCTGCTCCCAATTTCACCCTGAAAGAAGCCCGACCCAAATCATGTTAAGCAAGCCACCGGCCAGCTCAGCAAAATGCTGGTAGAGGGGGATGCCTGAAACATGAGTACGGTTGGCTGCGGGCTGCAATCATCTGCAGACATGAGACTTAGCTTCATCACGCTCATGGCGGCCACTCATAAGTGCAAAAGACATTGCACACTGTTGCCTTTGGCTGCCGCTGCTGCCTTTGCTGCCGCCATGGACACCTGGGGAGAATTTTGCTTCACAGCATTGAGCAAATGATGGAGATCGGGTTCGGCAGACTGGAGAGCGATGTCTGAAGGGATCTGGCGTTCAGTCTTCCATCCTTTGATACCAGCAGCATGCGTAGCATGTCACAACATGCGGGGTAATGTGCACGAAGCAGGAGTGCTCAGACCTGCCTCCAGTCAAGCGGCTGTCCAGCAATACTGAAACATCCCTTTTGCATGACTACGAATATAGACCGTGTTCCAAGCAGCCTGAACATTCAAAAAAAGAAAACAAAACGAGCACTTAAGTCTTGTGTACTGGACAATGGGTGATCAGGTGCACTCCACACACCCAAACCTCATGTCACCTCACAAGGTACACCTTTCACATCAGGACTGGCTGACTTGGAAGCTCAAAGATCCCGAGCCCAGGCGAGATGCACCCAGGATGGCGTTGGCACCCAGCTTGCTCTTGTTCGGGGTACCATCCTAGGCTCTCATGTCAGGACTTCGGGTGGTTGTTGCAAATAGCAGGCTGGGTCTTCCTCACCGCTGCCAAAACCTCTAGCAAGTACTTTGCTCCTCTTCTGCTGTTCTCTTTGCATATGTAGCATCGAGGGCAATCATCTTGTCGTCCAGCTCCTTTTGCTTCGACACGTCGAAGCCCTTAAGCTCGGTGCTGAGAACCTGGCCATGCGCCAAAACAACACTGATCGTGACACGTCAGCAGGACTTCCGATTTTTGGTTAGATTTTGGTCAAGTTCTGTGTACCTGCATCCGATTCTTGCCAACTTTCTTGTGTTGCAAACCCCCACTAACTAAGCAATCTGACTTGGCAGTCATGTGTTGCTGCTGCTCGAGTGATGGTTTAATCTGGAGCACAACCGGCATCTATCTAGCATACAAGACACGACATCAATCTTGGCGAAGGCACGGTATTCACCGACTCCACAGCTTTGAGCACGCCTGCTCTTATTCAGGAAGCCACGGCCACTAAGCAAGGGTCACACTGAGCGTTGGCTGACAAACTTTAGCAATCGTGGTCCTATATCCTCTGCTCTCAACCCCGCTGTGTCCTTTGCCCAGGTAGCGTGACTTGTCGCCATCCCGAAGCTCACAAGCCTGCAGGACTTCTACGTTTGGAGGGCTGCTTTAACCTTGCGCCTCTCAAACCACCAGCCGCTTAATCAGCCACTGCATCTTCGGCTGCAGATGCTGCTGCTTTGCGAGAAACAAGGGAACACACCTCGAGAAGGATCATCATCTCTTCAAATTGCAGGACTGTGACTGGCAAATTCCGAAAACAGCCTGGCAGCACATAAGATGGAACTATCAGAACGTCTGGCTGGCGAGAAGAATGTGAGCCGTGAACAAAAAAAAAGATGTATAAATTGAATGGGAATAAGGAAGCTTCCGCCCGCGAGCTTCCGCGGACCTTCCGCGAAACCTCCGCGAAGACTACTGGCAGATTTTCCGACGCTGTGCTTCCGCGGTCTCTTCCGCGAAAAGGATTTCTATTCTAGTCTTCGGCATTATCCGTCCAAAGCCCGAGCGTACATGGAGTGCGAAATAGTGCGAATTTAGGGCGGGGTTGGGGCTGGCCTTATAGAGGGTTGAAACCAAAGGCGGTCACACGGTAACTTATTCAAAGGGGAGTTGGGCTGGTTATTCAAGGTTCAAACCAGAGGCGGTCACTTGGGAATTGGTATTGCGGTAAAGA